TAGCTGGGTCATTGTATCTTTTGTTAACTTTTCCATTTCACCCATAAAGGAATGTATGGAAAACAGTTCCTTTAGCAGTTATCCTCCATGTGATTCTTCTTACTCAGTAGGAGCGAGAGTTGTAGTTGAATGAGCTTCAACATACTTTCTGTGGTATTTCAAAATAGGTTTCTGGAGTTGCCCTTTTTTGTGCTAACTTTACCCTGTTCATCACTTATATTGGAGCAGAAGGAAAACATGTCTTTTTAGCAGCCATGCTAATCCTAAAGCCTTATGCCCAGCTTAGGGTACAACAGTAAAATTGAGTCACTTTATAACCCCACCCCTGATCTGGCACATGCTGAAAAAAGGTCTTTTAGCAGTCATCCTCTATCTGATATGGGTGGTAGGGCTAAATCTGATCCCACAAATGCAGAGTGAAATATAGGCAGAGTCACCCTTTCTTGTTCTAATTGTACCCTATCTTTCACCCATATAGGAGCAGAGGAAAAAACCGGGCTTTTATAGTCTATCTTCACCTAAAGCTCCTGCCCAATTTGGGGTGCAGAAGACAGGCCTTAATTTATGTTAACACACCAATCCCTGATTCTGCATTTACAGAGAAGGAACAAAGGAAAAACAAGCTTTTTAGGGGTTATTCTTCATTTGAAGCCTGCTTGCCAATGGTGTAGGATTTGGGACTGATTTAGCCTCAATACCTACACCACAGTTGCAGTTGCAGAGTAGAATGAAGATGCTGCTACCCTTTTTTTTTTTTTTTATGTTTACCATACCCTTTAACTATATAGTCAAAGTGAAATTGGCATTTGTCACCATTCTCCACCTGTTTAATTTAGTGTGAAAGGTGGGGCTGAATGGCCCTGAACACTTTCAATGCTGATACTGCAGTTGCATTTGCAGAGTAGAAGGTAGGCAAAGTCCCCTTTCTTAGGCTAACTTTATTCTATCTTCACTCATATAGGAGCAGAGAAAAAACATACCTTTAGCATCCATTCCTTACCCTTTTTCTCTTTTTAAAATTTTGACTGGAGAGTAGAAAAGTGAGAAAGCAAACCACTAGGTCTAGGACTTGAACCACAATGAGCCATATGGGAGTCTAGCACCTTAACCACTATGCCACCTACTGGCCCCATCCCATTCCTTACCTAATCCCCCTGTTTAGCCTATTGTGAGAGATGTGGGGTTGATACTCCCCACTTGTAATCTTACTGCTGCACATTAGAATGTAGTCAGCTAAACTCTTTCTTTTTTTAACTTAATCCTATTCCTCACCTTATAGGAGTGGAGAGAAACTAGCAGTCATTCTCTAGATGAAAACCCTTACCCATTTTAGTGTGCAGGAGTTGCAGTGAATAAGCCTCAACAACCCCATCCCTGAGCCTACAGTTGCAGAGTAGAACATAGTGAGGTCACACTTTCTTTTGCTATCTTTACCCTATTCTTCATCCAACTAGTAGCATAAGGAAAATAAGCCTTTGGATTCTCTACCTGAAGCCTTCTAACCAGTCTAGGCTACAGAAGACAGGTCTGAATTGACCTCCACACCCCCAACCTTGCACAGTAGAAGAAGGTATGGTCACACTTTCCTGTACTAAATTTACTTATTCATTCACCATCTAGCAACAGAGGGAACATAGGCCTTTTAACAGCCACTCTACAACTGAAGCCCCCGCTAATATAAGCAGACTCTGCCTATATTTCACTCTGCATTTAAGGTATCAGAGGTAGGATTTGTAAGTCAAGAGTTGAATTTCCCTCAACACCCCAATATTTGATCCTGCAGTTGAAGAGTAGAAGGAAAACAGTGTAACCCTTTCTTGTGTAAACTTTCACCTTCACTCATATAGAAGCAGAAGGAAATCAAGTCTTTTAGTAGCCATTCCCTACCTGAAGCCCCTTGCAAGGGCTAGTGTGCAAGAGGTAGGGGTCAACCAGCTTCAACATGCATATTCCAATCTTGCAGTTGCAGAGTACAAAAAACATCTGTATAGATGTTTACTTTTTTCCCTTTCATCCCCAGGATGAGAGCCCACAATTCTGCCCACTGAACCAACAATCCTGGGGTAATGAATCTGCTTCTGTGATATTTTCCCTAGTTTGCACAGCGTATTCTGCCCTCTGCTATCCATTTGACATATAGTTACTCTTATTGGTGAAGAACTCCACATCTGGGTCAGTGAGCAGCCTATCAGTAAGGTCGGGCCAGTTGGAATATATTTCATCAATATCCACCTCACAGTTATGATCCAGGGGGCCTGCCTCAGCAGGCTGGAGCTTTGTTGGGTTAATACAGTCATATAGTCTCAAGATTAATTGGGTATTTTCATATAACAGGCTCTGGTAGTGGGCCATCTGAGTCAGCGAGCCACTTGTATCTCTTACTGTTTATTAGAGTAGTTACTGAGTATGACACTTTGATATTGATATTTTGTCCCAGAGTTAATTTGTCAGCCTCTTTATTGAAGAGGACTGTGGCTACTAGGGATCAAAGGTTTGGCGACCATCCGGCTGATACCAGATCAAGTTTTTTGGAGAGAGAAACAATCAGTCACTGCTATGGGCCATGGGTTGTGTCAGTATCCCTAGAGCAATTTGATTTTTTTTTTTTTTTTACAAACCTCTTGAATTTCCGGGTAACAACAGGCAAGTTAAGGGCAGGGGCACCGCTTGGCTTGGCCCTGAGTTCTTGAAAAGTGTTCTCCTGACCTTGGCCACAGAAAAGTGGACTGTCTTGGAGCCTCTGAGCTTTTCATATAGGAGCTGGGCTTTGTCTACAAACCCCAGTGTTCAGAATTCTGCTGCCCCTAAAAACTCACTTAATTGTTTCTAGAATTCCAGATGGGGCAAGGAGCAGAGCGCTTGCTTTCTCTCATGCCTCGGAGTTTGACAACTTTTTGAAATGAAGAATCTGAGATATTTAACCTATCACTGAAATATTTGGGCCTTCCTCTGGTAGACTCTATAACGAGACTTAGCTAGTAGTGGTAGTAGCTTTTGAAATCTGGTCCCGCAGTTTACCTGATTAGGTTTCTCCAGCAGGATGTCATCCACATACTGGAATAAAATCCAGTTCAAGTCTTCCCTGGAAAGAAAACCACAAGGGCTTTTTCAAAAAGACCAGGCAGATTTTTGTAACCCTAGGAAAGTTGAGCCCAATGAGCTGGTCTTGTCTTTTCATCTCAGGACCTTTCCATCCAAATGCAAATAAATAGTGGTTGAATTGCTGGTGCTAGCTGCAGGTAGAAAAAAGAATCTTTTAGATCTAGACATGTGAACCCATAAGCCTGGGAAGGGAGTGTGCTCAGAAGACTATATGGATTTGGGATAGTCAAGTGAATGGTGACAGTTGCCTCATTAATGGCTCAGAGATACCACACTGGTTGAGAATACTTCCCCTTGGGAACCAGCAGTTAGTGTAATGGCTATGTCGCTGGACTCCCACGTAGTCAAGTGCAGTTTGCATCCTGGACCCAGTGGCTTAAAACTCATGCCGGGCGTGTGTGCATGCATGCCCAAGATCCTGAGAGGAGAATGGAGGAGAGGGGATTGCGGTGTGACCATCCCCCCTGGGGGGGTGATTTCTTGCTTTCTGTCTCTAATGTTTCTCTCTGTCTGTCTGGCAAGCTCATGCGCCCTATAGCGAAAATCTCTCAAAAAAAAAAAAAAAGAAAAAAAGAAAAAAAGAAAAAATTCTTCCCCTCAGACTTACGGACAGGCAAAATTGGATTATTCTAGGGGGACTGACATTCCACTAGAATTCCAGCTTCCCCTAGATATTCAGTGTGATACCTGATTCCCAGCTGAATCTTACATGACACCAGATATTGTCTTAGTCTGATAGGGTGGGCACCAGCTTTGAACTAAACAAGAACTTGTGGGTGATTTACTGCCAACCCAAGTGGATTGTTTTCTGCCCAGACAAAAACTTGGCTAATGAGCTAGGTAGCACAGGGCATATTTCTCCCTCAGGGTTGTAGAGCCTCCAATCTACTTCCCTTAGCATAATCACAGTTGGTATTTGTGCCCCTAATCTCCTAGTGTGAGCATGGTATACTTCCCAGGGACAAAGGTAATTTTTTCCCTCTAGTTTTGATAATAAATCTTGCCACAAAGGTTTTGAACAGTCTTGTAAATACAGAAACACATGGTATACCATATTTTCTCCTAATTGTCAAGTTGGAACATGAATGAAAGGCTGGATCTTCTGGGCTCTAGTGGCCCAATGATTGTAGCCTTTTGCTTAGACAAGGGTTCCCAGGGACTCTGTCAGAATTGAATGTTCTTCCCCTGTGTCCATGAGTGGCCCAATGATTGTAGCCTTTTGCTTAGACAAGGGTGTCCAGGAGCTCAGTCACAACTGAATGTTCTTCCCCTGTATTCATGAGTAAAGTCAATTGTTGACCCCCACAGGCTTTCAGATCTTATTTCTGGGGCCCGGGTTCAGAGAACCCAGTCTGTCCTAGTTGGAGTCTACCCTTGCCAGGCCCATGAAGCCCTGTGGAGGGGGTTTGGGAAAGTAAGTTGTTGTCTTCAGCTCTGGAGCACTGCCCTGGGAGCATGGGCCTCTTTTGTGCTTTGGTCATTCCTTTTTTTGCTATAGGGCACGTGCGCTCACCAGAAAGATAGAGAGAGACAGAGAGATAGAAAGCATGAAATCACCCCCCCAGGGAGATGGCCACGGCACAATCCCTTCTCCTCCATTCTCTTCTCAGGATCTTGGGCACGCATGCACATGTGCCTGCAGTAAGTTTAAGCCACTGGGTCTGGGACTTGAACCATGGTCAACTACATGGGAGTCCAGTGACATAACCATTATGCTAACTGCTAGTCTTTTGGTCATTCATTTTTTCCAGTGACCTAACTCCTGACAATAAGCACATTGATGTGGCCAGAGTAGCTGCCTCCCTGGTCCAGAGGGTTGAGCACTCTAAGGAATCGTTCTAGCTAGGAAGGTGGCCTTTTGTCTCATATTTTATTCTGTTCATTTCTTTTCTTCTCAGTTGCAGTTCACATGGACTCTGTGAGCCACCTCCAAAAGTTCTGTTGCATTCATTCCACTGAAAACCTCCAACTTCTGCAGCTTTTGGTGGATATCAGCTGCTACTTGGGTCATAAATACTGCATTTATCATTCATTGACTTTCTCACACTTCTAGAAGAAAGGGTATATATATCCTGAAAGCTTCACAGAGTCTCTTGTAAAATTCAGCTGGGGACTCTGACCTTTTGGGTCACTGTAATTATTTTGGCCATGTTAATCAGCTCTTTGGCTCTTGCCTTTACCCCTCAGAGTAGTACTGTGTAGTACTGGTTAAGAAAGATTGGTCAGCCCTACCTCCGAATTATGGTCCAAATCTGTTTTAGTCTGGAGCAGCTGTCTTTTTCCATTCCTCAATATCAAGAATGCCCACTGGGGGCTCTTTTCTGGCTGGAACCATGGAGAAGAAAAAGGTTCCTGCTGTGCCAGAAACCCTTAAGAAAAAGCGAAGGAATTTTGCGGAGTTGAAGATCAAGCGCCTGAGAAAGAAGTTTGCTCAAAAGATGCTTCAAAAGGCAAGGAGGAAGCTTATCTATGAAAAAGCTAAGCACTATCATAAGGAATACAGACAGATGTACAGA